ATGTACCGAATGAGATTACGTCAGGGGAGTGGGTATGTATTGTATGAAAACCGACAGTGCAAATTAAGAAAGACTAAACCAAGAAAGCGTAAAATTTTGATTGATGAAGTGGTTGACCGCAAGAGAGCAAAGGGGAAGGCGCTGCATAATGGCTCGAAGACAAACACTTCGGGAAGACAGGCCGCTCGAGATCCTGACGCCTCGAGAAACGGATGGCAGGGTAGAGATAAGTGTGCCGGCGAGAAGTGGGGTGAGCAATCCAATAATGGATTGGGTAGGAATAAAATTTCTGGAGGATACAATGTATCTCGTGGTGGAATTAGAATAGAGCGCAAAAGGCGAGTTTGGGGGCATAAACCTGGATCTCCCGGGCCTCGTCCACGTGAAGGGATCGATGCACCTATCAGAGGAGGGATGGCGCACCTTCGGGATCACATTGGCGTTCGGGAGCGACCTTGTGCATATGTTTGAGGGGGCATGGCAGGTAATGTGGCGAGAGGGATTCAAGTTTGTGGATCCTGAACGAGATGACGTGATGGCCGAAGTGAGAACCACCGTGGCAAGGACGTTCACCCTGCCCAATGAGAACGTACGAATGAGGTTGCCGCCCTTCTTGCTACGACGGATGGGAGGTGTGGAGCGCGTCACTCAGGCAGTAGCGGCATTGGCCAGATTGAGTTTTGAGGAATCCTTGTTGTATCGAGAGTATTACCGAGCCTTCTTAGAGATGGGGCCGTTTGAGGAAGAATAGGAGTATGAGGTACTGCGCATACTGCACGCAGCTGTAACGATGAAACCAAGGATCTAGCTGATCAGTGATGAGGTCATGTGGGGAATCATTAGGCGAGAAGTAAGTCGCAGATTGGCGTATATAGACGACGTGCATCTGTTATTCGAACTACCAGAGGAAGAAGTAGGTCTGTAAGTAAGGAATGGAACAAGAATGACGGTAAAGGCAAGACAGGAAGGGAGAAAAAAAAATGAAGAGACACAAGGGGAGGGGAGGTACCAAGCGGACCTTTGGAGCATAAAAGAAGTCGGGATATATTTACTTTCCTTTCTCGACCGTGTAGGAGCTCGCCGACCGGTAATGGCGATAAGGCGCGTCTGAACGCCACGACAACCCACACACCCTCACCCAGAGAGCAACAATGAGTGAGAGGTGTCGCTCCCTGCGAGCTATGAGTTTTGAGGAATTGATATGGAATGGCAAGCGATAACTCTGGGGAGAAACAACGCATTCATGATGGTGGAATGCCTACAGGACGGTATGAGGTTTAATCGGGACCGGGGGACGATCTGTATACCGATCTAAGGGTAACTGGAACCTTGTACCTACCTGAGATCAGGTGGCACATGCTAGGGATCGGAATGGCCTAGGGGCATGGGGTGATGCCAACCTTTCGATGCGCGGCTCGGGCACTGGCTCAGATAGGCCAAGAAATCAGAGGGAGAAGGAACGTAGGGCTGAGGACCCGGGTGGAAGTAGGAGGATGGCGGGAGTTTAGGGCCTCATCGCCTCGATTCCAATGCCAAGTGCCTCGCTTCATGATAAACTTGGTTTTCGGAAGTCTTTCGAGGGCAAGGGACGTGGCGGACGCGGCCCTAATCTGGGTATACTATTTCCAGCCGGAGACGATCGACATTTTTTACGACATATCGGTAAAACATGGGCCATTATGGGAAAATAGAGCTTGCGAGATGCTAGAACTCATCGGTATTCTTGTATTTGGGACGCCATGACTGGCCTATTCAGAATACAAGCTGATAATCCTAAGGGAAATAGAGATGGAGGAGAACTAACTCGCAGGGGTGGCCCAACTATTTGAGGAACCCATCGAACAGGTAGAATACGAGGAGCCGGTGTGAGAAGCGCAAAGGTGAGGGGTCTAGTAAGATTGGAATAACGCATATTACTGAGCAGAGGCAAGGACAACACTCACTAGGAGATAGCGGTTGGAGTCCTATTCTACCTAAGAAGAGTTTGAGAAGAAACTGGGATAGCCACTATCGCCGAAAGCGTTATGAATGTCCTTGAACAGGAAAGGAAAAGGTTGGCCTGAGAGAAAAAATAGGGACCCGCTCCGCCAAAACACACCGCCTGAGATCATATGCGCATTCCGTATTAGACGCCAAGCCGGATCAAAGAGGTCATCAGAGGAGTAGGCAAGGGCTATTCCATAGCCAGATAAGGGACATGTTACTGAGGTCGATGCCAAAAATAGAATGTCGAATGTAAAAAACGTGAAGGCTATGAGAAGGACATAAAAATTTTAGTACCTAAAAGACTGAATTAAAAAGTAACAATGTTTAGAAAGAAGGTCCAAGAATTCAACCGAAATGAAATGACTGAATGAATACAAGCTRTAGCTAATACCCAAGGCATCAAAGATGCAGTTTCTACGGGATCCCAAAACCACCAACCGCCCCAACCTAGCTCATGATAAGCCCACCAACTTCYCAGTAGTATTCCTACAGTTAAAAAACACCAGCACGTTAAAATCCAAATTCGTATCAGTTTCCAATAGGCACTTCCAAGAGGTCGTGTTATGGTGTGAAGCACAGAACGTAAGATCACTGCCTTTCTTTTTCCACAGTGATCTTGGACTCTGAAATCCTAAAAACCCTTGAACCGCCTGCCACTGGAAAAAGTTTTTTTGCTATGTGCAGGGATAGGAAAAATGGCAACAGAGGACAAGGCAGAGATCAAGGAAGCAAGGGAGGTCAGAACATAGGGGAGAACGTAGAGCACAACGAGGGAGCCCTGAGGGTCCGAGAGTCGAAAAACCCGGAAGGTACTAAGGAAGGATGGAAGGAAGTCACTATAGGGGGAAGCTCAGGAAAAGTTGGAGGGAACAAGAGGGGAACCCAAGAGACAGCGAGAGAAAGGGAGAAAGGTGGTCCGCCGCCTCGGGGGTCAGAAGTGGCGCTATCAAAAAAGGTACGACTGGCGGACGCTCGAAAGAAATTGGCAGAGACAGAAAGGAGGGCGGCTGAGTACAAAGAAAAACTGATGGAGGAAATAATGAATGAAAGAGAGGGGGATTTTGTCGGGGCAAGGCAACACGAGGAACGAAGAGTAGATCTGGGTCGAGGGAGCCAGGATGATATTGGACAAGGAAGAAAAGATAGGACTAGGGAACACAGACGAACGTCTAGCAAGAAAGGGAAGGAAAGGACGGGATCCCCAGAAAGGGAGGCAGCAAATGCTACGAACCCGCCAGTTATAAACAGTGGGGCAAGTCGGTTAGTAGCCGCACCAATGATCACAAGAGGATGCTAGGGACTGTGGAGCTTAAGAGAGAAGGTGTTAGGATGGTTTGACCCTGAAGGCACGGCGAAAGTCGGAGAAGGGATGGAAGCCAGCAAGGAAGGACAGGGGTCCGGTGCCGCCGGTGAGATAAGAGGAGCTGAGGGAGGACTTAGAAAAATAGTGCCTTCCCTTATACGGGCGTTAAACAAAAACCAGGGATATTTGGTTGATGCCAAAAAGAAGTTGACGTTCGACAGGGCCAACATCACAAAATTCCTGATAGATTATGAAAACTTGGCGGCATTGTTAAGGTGGAGCGAAGAAGAAAAGATGGACCATTAGGGCAACACGTATCGCTAAGTCTAGGAAGAGACATAATGACTATCATTGCGGCCAGTGGATTTTGCAAGGAAGCCCGAGACCTGGCTGCCAAGAAAATGGCTACGGAGGCCGAGTTGGTTGTGGTGCAAAGGAAAAACTTCGCAACGGATAACAATTTTGTGCGACATTTCACCCTCGTGGTGCTGCTGCAATTTTCGTTCGTTGGGTCTCTCCTATTAAACCCCTGATTAGCCCACTCCTGCTTGAACCACAACTTTTGTGGAGGGAGGGGGGGTCGGACCACCTGGGCTTGCATTACCATTAACACGTTTTCCACTCTCTCGATCTTGTCGTCCACCCCATGGACGCGCTCATGCAAACTTTCAATCCCCCTGTTTACCTTGTCTCTTGTCTTGCCAGTTAGATCTATGACCTCTCCTTCTTTTAGCAGGGCCATAGATTCGGTCACAACCATTTTCTCAGCAATGAGTGACAAACCGTATAATGAGTAAGTACTTCCTTAGATAGTTCACTGAGTTTGACTAGGATAAGATTCTGTCGGCTTACCAACAGACAGCGAAATTCATGAACACCAGGGATGTTGACTTCAACACCGTAACGAACATTGCTGAGAAAATGGTTGTGACCGAATCTCTGGCCCTGCTAAAAGAAGGTGAGGTCATAGATCTAACTGGCAAGACAAGAGACAAGGTAAACAGCGGGATTGAAAGTCTGCATGAGCGCGTCCATGGGGTGGACAGCAAGATCAAGAGAGTGGAAAACGCGTTAATGGTAATGCAAGCCCAAGTGGTTCGACCCCCCCTCCCTCCGCAAAAGTCGTGGTTCCAGCAAGAGTGGCTAATCGGGGGTTTAATAGGAGGGACCCAACGAACGAAAATTGCAGGTATTGCACGATGATCGGTCACTTTGTACGAGCATGCCCAAGGCTCAATCATGATATCGTACGAAAAAGATGTTCTAGGACGCTAAAACGAAAGATCATATGACCCCAAGGAAAAAAAGTGAACTGGAACTCGCCAGGAGGGATGCGACGGGCTGTAATTGCCCTAAACAATCTAGCCGCCGCCGCAATAGAGGCTGAGACGGTGGAAGAGATCGTTTGGGAGTAGGCTCGAGGACGTGGGCCACAAGCTAGATTTATTCTAGAAAGTGATGGGCGGGATAAGGTGAATGTGACCACAAGGCAGCGATCGACAGAAAAGAGGGTCATATAGGACGCAGTTATGGAAGACGCAGGAGATGGCCCGGGGGTGCTACAGGAAACAAGGGCATAGGAATAGGAGAAGGTCTATGGGAAACCTAGTGAGGAGGGTTCGGTAGACAAGGCCACCTAGGCCAAAAAGAAGTTCAGGTACCAGATTCTTATTCTAACTATGCTTCAGATCGATGACACCCTTAGCAAGCTGCTAGGAACCATAGTGTCAGTCTCATTCCAGACAATGTTACAAGCAAGTCCTAGGCTCCTGAAGAGTCTTAGACATTTGTTGACTCGGCGGAGAGTAGAGGCAGAGGAAGGTCCGGAACCTCGGAAAGAAGAAAAGGAGGAGGAGGCACCACGAGAAGTTGCCAACCTTCAGAGGATTCCTGGGGATCTAGAAGACCTGGAAAAGGCTTTCGCAGATATTCGTATGAGTTTGCCAAATCACAAAGGTGGGGAAGTTATGAGGGCCCCACCCAAAACAAAACTCAGCTTCCATGCGCTGCCCATGGGAAAGCTGAAAGTGGAAATTGGAAGCCACAAAACAGACACATTGGTGGACGGAGGGGCGGAAATCATGCTCATTAGAAAAAACTTTGTCAAAATCATGGGATGTGCGGTCAACAAGGAGACGACCGACAGTATCCGGGGAGCAGGCGGAGAGATTCCGTTCTCCGGATATGTCACTAAGTGCGCCGTCAAGGAGGGAGTCAGGGAGTTGATCTGGTCTTTCCAACGGATGACAATCATGGAAGAAATGGACCATGATATCATCCTCGGAAGGCCTTGGTGTGCGGATGTGGAAATGATAGGGATGCACCTGCATAATGGGACGTACATGGTAGACATAGAGGATCCAGTGACAGGACGTGGTGAGCTGCTCCGCCTCATTGGGACAGGGGGCAACACCCCAAAGAGGAAATTAGCAACATGGTCACCTTCCTTTGAGGAGAGTGCCGAAAAAGGGGTTTTCGCAAAAATAGAAGGGATGAGAGAGAGAGTCAAAATCATGATTGAGGAGGCATTCGTCAAGGAGTGGGTCAAGATGGGACTGCCACATACGAAGCGGAGACAGGAGGACGGCGCTTTGGGCGTTATGGTGATAGAAAAGGAGACGGAGGTCAAACTAGGGGCCAGTCTACCCAGACCTAAGGAGACGCGGGATGAGGAGTCAGGGAACTTGTTAAGGCCATCAAGTATCATAAGGTAGGGGTGGACTCGGTCGCGCTCACCAAATTTCAGGGTGAAGTCCGAAAGGGCTACTGCCTAAATGGGAAGCTGGTCAGCATCCAGCCGTGGATTGTCGACGCGGCAAGGACGATCCTAACCGTTCATTTTTTAGAAGAAAGATCCCGGAAGGAAGCATTCGCAAATACAAGCCAGTAGGGAAAAAGGCCAAGCCTGTCTCTGTCCTGCTAGAAACAACGAAGGAAGAGGCTATGGAAAAAAAGGAAGAAGTTCTCCGAGTAATCGGGGAAAGACGGGCAACGGAAGGGCATCGAATACTGGACGAAGTAGCTGGTACCATGAAAATAGGAGTGGAAGGGTTCCTAAGGGAGCAAGAAACCCGCTTCATCAAGGAAGCGTGCCAAAAATTTCACCCGGTTTTCGCTTTCAACGATCATCAGAAGGCGCGGCTTGATGCAAAGTTGATACCCCCCCCTGTCAGGATTCACACAGTCGAGCATGAATGTTGGAACGATAAAGAGTCGGCCTAAGACTTTGGAATGGTAGGTGAAGTGACAAACCTGCTCAAAGCAAAAATGGACTCCTTCGTCGCAGAGGCTACCACATCTTCGTACACAAACAGGTGGTTGGTGTTCCATAAACATTACAAGACCCTTAGGCGGATCCAGGATCTGCAAAAGCTGAATGCTGTGACTATATGGGATGCAGGGTCGCTGCCTCATGCAGACTTGTTAGAAGAATCTCACGCCGATCAGAGCATTTACTCGCTGGTAGATTTCTATTCCGGATATGATCAGCTCCCGGTGGACGCCCGAGATATACCCTACACGGCCATGCATACCCCTGTAGGCCAGCTGCAAATGCAAGTAACCCTTATGGGTTTCACCAATGCTGTGGCGGAAGCACAGAGGAGGATGCTTGCAATTGCTGGGGATATGTTCCCAGCAAAGTGCGAACCTTACATTGATGACAATCCGATCAAAGCCGTCCGGGAGAAGGATGAGACGAAAGTTCAGCCCAAAGTACGAAAGTTTGTTTGGGACCATTTACAGGACATCAAGAACCTCCTTCGTAGGTTTCTGGTGTACAATATTACCGCCAATGGTCCCAAGAGTATCCTTGCAGTTCCAGAAGTGACCATCCTAGGTTTCGTTGTGGGGCATATGGAAGGAAACCCGACCCAACCAAAACCGACAAGATCTCCCAGTGACCAATGCCTCTATATGCACAACAATGGAGGTAAGAGCCTTTTTGGGGGTTGTCGGATTCTAGAGGATTATTATCAAGGGTTTCACCAAGATAGCAGAACCTATTCGGACTATGATTCACGAAGAAGGTACAATGGACTGGACCGAGGAACGAGATGCCGCTGTTCAGGCCCTCAAAGACGTATTGACGTAGGAGCAAGTCATACTTGTCGCACCGTGTTTCAGTGATGAGGTAGGGCGGCCGTTCATACTTTAGACCGATGGGGGACCTTTAGCTGTGAGAGGATTGTTGATACAAAGAGGTGAAGATGGGAGAGAAAGACCCATCGGATTCGAGAGTAGGACGTTGAACTCAGTAGAGCGTCGCTACTCTCAATTCAAGAAGGAGGTACTGGCCATCCTTCACTGCAAGCTTACCTCTTTGGGAGATATTTCATTATGAGGATCAATCCAATGAACGTCGCAGGAGCGCTAAAGAATTACAAGATCATAGATCCAACGGTGGGAAGATGAGTAGGGTTCATCTGGCAGTTCGATTACAAAATCGAGCGCATTGTGGGGCTTAGGAATAGGGCTGATTGCCTGAGCAGGGTCTGCATCATACCAGAGGGAGTAGAGGACGTGGAACCTATCGACGCGTTCCTCGACTACGAGGGAGGGACCCTTGTGGTAGATAACGAGGTAAGAAACCAGGCATTCACATATGAGGAACTGCTGATCAAAGTCTTGGAAAAGGGGTCTCCCATCATAGTTGTGGAACTCGGGGAAGGACCAGTTACAAGGCAGGGTCGTAAGGTAGAGAAGGATTCATGGAAGGCATTGTGAGACCGAAGGAGGAACTGATGGCGATGGCGGTAGAAGGAGGACAAGAAGTAGTTATGAGTCTAGTCGAATCGTGGGAACAAAATCGGCAACAATACTTGGTGAATTAGGCGCAGGATGAGAAAGAGGACCGCCAGGATAGGAAGGAGTACTTCTATATTCAAATGTGCGACGAAATTTTCAGGGAAATCGGTTTGGTGCTCGTAGGGAATAAGGAGGCTGGGGAAATCGGCCTCAAGGGAAGCCGAGAAGTACGTACTAAGGAATGAGAACCTGTTCAAAAAGGAGGAGGGCCTAATGCCCAGAAGGGTTGTGTGCGGACGGTCCAGACATGTAGATATAATCCAAGCGATTCATGATGGGCTAACCGGGGGACACCGCTCCTCAAAAGGGCCGCTGACAAAAATAGCATCACTCTACTTCTGGCTCGGAATGGGTAGCATGGTCGTCACATATGGCCATACCTGCTAGACCTGCCTGATCTGCCAAGAGCGGAGTTCGACCCATGTTTTTGAACCTTTGAGACCCACGCGGGTGTTAGGACCAAGGCACCTGGTCCACCTCGATCTCGTAGTCATGCATGTGTCTACGGAAGGATACAGGTACATTCTTGATGCAGACAACCTTAATGGGTTTCTGGAGGCAGTAGCCCTCGAGAAGAAAACAGGAAAACCAGTGGCGAGTTGGATTGAAAACTTTTATCAAAGGCACCCATTCATCAGAAGTTTTATAGTTGGTAATGAGACGAAGTTTGTAAATCAGGAAGTATTGAGCACTTGCAAAAGACTCGGGTACCAATTAAGCTCATTGAGCCATACCACATGGAGGCTAATCCGCACGTAGAGAAGGGACATCGGACCCTTAAGAACACGATAGCGAAATTAACGACAGACGATCTTGGGAATTGGCCCAAGTACCTTAAGCACGCCGTTTTTTCAGAAAACGTGACTCCAAAGAGGACTATAGGTTGTATCATAACCGAGCTATGGTATGGAAGGGAGATTGACTTCCCGATGGAAGCCCTAGTACCGACTTGGAATAAGTTGGACGACGATCCACACTTGACGACGGAACAGTTGATTGAGGCCCGATGCCAACAGATCTTTCGGAATGAGGAGGCAATGGAAGAGGTGGTAAACCAAGTCCTTGATAGAAGGATGAAAGATAAGGCAACGTGGGATCGGCTCAAGAATGTCCGGAAAGAGTCACTCCAAGTGGGGGAAATGGTCCTAGTGACAAATTCGGCACTAGAGAGCACTTGGTTAGGGCAGTTGGGAAGAAGATTCAAGGGTCCTTACCGGGTGGCCAAGCATTTGGGGTTGAACACCTTCGAGTTGGAAGATTTGGATGGGACAAGATTGAAAGGGCCGTTTCCGGAACAACGGCTGGTCATGTTTCTAAGTCGAGATCTAGTGGAACAATGGTTGCAAGAAGCCCAAGACAAGGAAACTTGAGAGCGGATAAGCTGAGTGTCGGCGGGAATCTTATTTGTGATATGTCTTGTTTTTCCTTTGGGGGTGACTATGGCTGTGCCTATGGGTAAGGTTGCTTGGGCTGGATGACAAAGTTGGGAATGCATGGGGCAATGTATCATAGCTTTGTGGGGGATGGATGAGATTTGGACGTTACTGTGGCAGAGTTGACACGAGGTGATGTATCATATGGTATTGTGTGAAGAGGATAGAGGCGAATGGGGGATTCTTGGGTATGGGGGATCATGGCGCCATAAGGGAAATGCGTTTTTGTCTTCCTTTTTAAAAAGTCGGGGTTTGTCTTTGCGGTTATGTACTGCACATCTTGTCGCTTTTGATTGCAGGAACAGAAAAATGTGGGGTTCCACTTAGCCCTCCTAAAGGGAAGGACTCCATAGCCTTAGTGGTAGGAGCTCACCATAGCTTGGGGGAGGCTGAGGAAGGAAGGAGAAGAGGGCTTAAAGAAGACGGAAGCCATAACTGATCTATAAGTGTGCATGGAGAGAGAGAGCTTCACCAAGGTTGAATCCTCCATCTCAAGATGCTAAGAGAAGGTGAGTGAGAATTCTTCTTCTCCTTCTTCTTCTTCTTCCTCTTTTTTTTTTTTTTTTTTTTTTTTTTTTTTTTTTTTTTTTTTTTTTTTTTTTTTTTTTTTTTTTTTTTTTTTTTTT